GATGCTACGCTCAGTCTATCGGTAGTGGCGCAAGTCTTTTTACACTCCGTTTGTACACTCCTAGCGGTGTCTTTACAGTCACCACACGGATAATCTTGTCGTCCCCTGGATGTACCTCCAAGATTCGGCCCAATTTCCACTGCAACGGTGGAAGGTTGTCCTCTCGTATCAGTACCAGTGTCCCTTCCTTAATACCTGCACTGTTACCAATATGCCATTTGGATCTTGTATGCAACTCGTGTAGATACTCCCGATGCCATCTACTCCAAAAGTGTTGCTTCACCCTTTGAGTATGTTGCCACAATGACAGCCTTCTGATATGCACATCTGTCCACTCATATTCCGGTAGGGTTTGTAATGAATCACCAATAAGGAAGTGTGCGGGTGTTAGTGCGATATAGTCATTAGGATCAGAGGATAGGGGTGTTAGTGGTCGGGAATTTAGAATAGCCTCGATCTCGATTATTATGCTGTTCAATTGTTCGTACGTGAACAGTGCGTCTCCAATCGTACCCTTTAAATGTCTTTTAAAAGCCTTCACCGCGGCTTCCCATAGGCCCCCAAAATGAGGCGAACGGGGTGGAGAGAACGACCAGTTGACTCCTTCATCGGTTAAGTACCGTTTTAATTTTCCCTTGTGTTCTTTCGAATTTACGAATGTGGTCAGTTCCCTTATTTCATTATTCGCGCCTATAAAATTGCTCCCGTTGTCTGAATATATGATTCGTGATCTCCCCCTTCTCGCAAAAAATCGCTTGATAGCAGCTATGCATGCCTCCGTGGTGAGGTCTGTGACTAATTCTAAATGAGTTGCCTTTGTGGCGAAGCATACAAACACTACAACATATCCCTTGATTTTACTTACATTTCTGTGTTTCCGTTCCTTTAGAAAGAATGGTTCGCAATAATCGACTCCTGCGGTTTCGAATGGACGTGTTTGAGTCACACGATCCTTTGGTAAATTCCCCATAACATACTCGGATAGCTTGGGATTGGTTTTAACGCAATTTATACAGGCGTGGATTAACCTGCGTGTGAGATTCTTGCCATCTATTGGCCAATATCTTTGTCTGACGGCATTTAATGTGGCTTGAATACCCGCGTGCCAGTGTTTTAAATGTTCGTGTCTAACTATTAATTCTGTAACGTGGTTGTTGCGTGGTAGTAATATTGGGTGTTTGTATGTATACTTTATCGATGCGTGTTTTAATCGACCACCGACTCGGATTAAACCCTTCTCGTCGATGAAAGGAGTTAGGTTGAGCAGTTTACTCTTTTTGCTTATTTCCCTGCCTTCCCTTAAATCCTTTAATTCCTGCGCAAACTCTTGTTCTTGGATTAATTTTAATAAGTGTACGTGTGCGTTGGAAATCTCTAAACTAGTAAGTTCGTCTGCTACTCTGTTTCTGCTCTTACAATTATTATAAAAACGTAATATGTATGCAAGTACTCTGTTAAGTTTATTTATTGTTGAGAATCTATTAACGAAGTCTGTTGTATCAACTGTTGCTATTAAAACCTTGAAGCTACGTGTTTCCGGTATTTCTATTGCAGGTAGTATCATAAATGGCCAGGCTCGCTCGGCTTGCGACAGCCACTGCGGACCCTTTAACCATGTTGGGTTATTAAGAAAGACAAGAGGTGTTTGACCTCTGGATATAAAGTCTGCCGGATTTTCTATACTAGAAATGTGCCTCCAACTTTGAACATCTGTCTGCTCTTGAATTTCGCTTACACGATTAGCAACGAATGTTTTCAATGTGTGTGGTGGAGTCCTAATCCAATTCAAAGCTATGGTTGAGTCTGACCATAAAACAATCCCTTTAAATTCAACGTGGGTCATCGCGTTAATGGTTTCCCTTACTAAATTTGCTAATAGCTTGGCGGCACACAACTCTAACCGAGGTAATGAAATAGTTTTTACTGGTGCAACTCTTGATTTCGCGCACAATAGGTTAACCTTACAGTCTCCTTGTTTGTTAATTGACCGCAAGTAAATGCACGCACCATAAGCCGCCTCACTGGCATCACAAAACCCATGTAATTGGATTTCCAATGGGTTGTCGACAATGATTTTCCGTGGTGTTGAGAATTTATTCAAGTATGGTAGTTCTTGCATAAATTCCACCCACATTGTAAAAATCGATTGGGGAACAGATTCATCCCAGCCTAGGTCAGCCTTCCACAGTCGTTGCATAATGATTTTTGCGTGTACTATTACCGGTCCTAACAGTCCTAACGGGTCAAATAACTGCGCGATCTGTGACAGTATCGTACGTTTCGTAGGTCGGGGTTTGTCTTCGGTCAACTTTATGCTGTATCGTAACTCGTCCGTCCTTGGGTTCCAACCTATACCTAACGCTTTCCTGGTCTCGTCTATGTCTAAGGAAAGAGTGCGTTCTTGATTGCTTGATTCTAAGTCCTCAACCAGACTCTCGTCGTTTGACGTCCACTGTCTCAAGTGAAACCCGCCTAAACGTGCTAATCCTACTGCTTCTTCGCGTATTTTTAATGCCTGTTCACGCGTGGGTGCTCCAGTGAGCAAATCGTCGACATAAAAATCTGTCCTGAATACGTCTGCTGCGACGGGAAAACTCTTCTGTTCATCGACTGCTAGTTGTTGGAGACAACGGACGGCCAAAAATGGAGCCGACGTGGTTCCGTACGTTACGGTATTGAGTTCGTAAGTTCTAATTGGCTTATCTCGCGAATCGCGCCACAAAATCCTTTGGTACTTCCTGTCATCCGTATGTACCCTAATCTGTCGAAACATCTTCTCTACATCCGCCGTTAAAACATAGGAGTGCGAACGAAATCTAAGCAATAATTTGTATAGGGTATCCTGTAGGATAGGCCCATTTAATAAAGCGTCATTGAGGGCTATTCCCGTTGAGGTTTTTGAAGATGCATCGAATACTACGCGTATCTTCGTTGTCTCGCTCGACTCTTTTATTACCGCGTGGTGCGGCAGGTAGAAACCCTCGGTGAGATCGCCTCCGCTGACCTGTGTCATATGCCCTAATTGTTCGTATTCCTTTAAAAATTCCCGATATCCTATTAAGAGTTCCTGATTGGAATGTAATTTCCGTTCTAAAGCATAAAATCTCTTTAGCGCTATCTCTCGCGAACTCCCTAACCGTTGTTTATTCTCGTTGAACGGTAATCTTACGCAATATCGTCCG